CCCCTGAGCCCCTCCCTCTTGCTCTGCCCCCCTCTCCCCTCCCCCCCCCCCCCCGCCCCGCCCGGCTGGGGGCTGAGCTGGGTCTTTCCCCACCTGGCCTCACCCCTGGATTGGGCGACTGCCAGCTGCCAGTCACCCCTGCCAGCCGGGCACTGACCTCTCGTCCTGCTCAGAGCCCACCTGCCTGCTGCCTTCGCCTAGGGTCGTGGGAGAAGACTCCCCAAACGATTCTGGTAACAGCCCCACCTGCGGTCACGTTGTGAAGTAAGGACACCGCTGGACTGCTGCTGCCTGAGCGGCCGGCAGCTGAGGTCAGAGAGCTGCAGGGACTGGGTCCGGGGGCTCTTTTAGAGCTGGAGCAATGCCCTGATCGGTTTGGCTCAGCAGACAGAGCGCCGGCCTGCAGACTTAAGGGTCCCCCAGGTTCGATTCCGGCCAAGGGCATGTGCCCTGGTTGCGGGCACATCCCCAGTAAGGGGGTGTGCAGGAGGCAGCTGGTCGATGTTTCTCTCTCATCGATGTTTCTAACTCTCTATCCCTCTCCCTTCCTCTCTGTAAAAAATCAATTAAAAAATATATATATTTTAAAGCTGGAGCAGTGGCAGCAAGTGGTGGTTGTGGGGAATCCAGGGCCTGGGGCCACAACCAGGGGAGTGGCCGGGGGTTGGGGGCTGCAGACGGGCTCTGGGGAGCAGTCGGCAGGATGGGGTGCCCTGTGCTGCAGAAGGGGTTAGGCCTGGGAAACCGGGTCAGGGTCGAGCTCTCCCCCCGGCCCCGATGTGCATGCCTGCCCACCTGCCCGGCCCCAAGGCTTCCTGCTGTTGCACACAGGCCCGCCCCAGGAGGGCGCGGAGGCCACACCTGAGCAGGTGAGGGGCTGGGGGGCTGCCCCCTTGGGGGCCACGAGCTCTCACAGGCCCTGTGAGCAGAGCTAACAGCCAGGCTGTCAGCAAGCCGTCTGCCATAGCGGCCCGATGGTGGTGGTGACAGGGGCGCAGGCCGGGGACAATCGGCGCTTTCCCGGCTCAAGGGGCCTCCTGCGCCTGCTCCATCTGCAGGGAGTGCCCCCCAGGCCTGGGGCGGGGCCCCTGCAGTGCAGGCACCTGCTCCCAACAGCTGACAGATGGACAGAAGGACCTGTGAGGGGAGGCCTGAGGCTGCTGCTGGGGCAGGTGCAGCTGGAGCGAGGACAGACCTGGAAGACAGCCATCTCCACGTGGACATGAAGTGGGCCATGCGGGGAAGAAGGGCAGGACCCCTGGGGGAGCAGGGCCCTGGTAGGCCGCCCCGATGCCTTGGGCCCTGGCCAGTTGGCGGACAGACACAGCACAGTAGGGGTGACGGCCAAGGGCCGCTGGCTGTGGGCCCTGCACACCCTGGGGCGGGAACAGCGGCAGGGCGTGGGGTGCCATCTGGCTGGCTTGTCTGTTTCCAGTTGGGACGGTAAGACTGAGGACACAGGACCGCCACCCGGGGCGAGGGGGGGTCTGTCCCCAACGGGTGACCCACAGACCCGCCGGCGTTTGGAGACAGGGATCGTGCCCAGCCTTGCCTGGGTCAGAAGGAACCGAGGCTGCTCCCTTCCCCGGGTTGCTGCTACCTGGGTGTCGCCGGGGGATCTCGGCGCCCGGCCATGCGGACCCACCTGCAGGGAGGCGGCCGTGGCCTCCAGGAGCTGCTCGGCACTGTCCTTCTCGGGCTTAAACTGGTCCAGCTGCTCGATCACAGTCTCGATGCATTTCCCGTGGTACCCCATCTTCCCGGGAGGCGCCCTGCAAGCAAACCGCGCAGGTCACACCCTCCGCGGCCTCCGACCACTGCCAGGACCCTCACCCACGCGGACAGGAGGCCGCCGGTGGCCCGGCCCCGCGCATGGCGAGGAGAGTTGAATGGAAGTGGGGGCCCGGCTGTGGCTGCCCTGGGCCACTGCCTAGACCAGCCGTGGGCAAACTATGGCCCGTGGGCTGGATCCAGCCCGTTTGAAATGAATAAAACTATTGAAAAAAAAGACCGTCAAAAAGTTTGCCCACCCTTGGCCTAGACCGTGTCCCTGCATCCTCTGCTGCTGGCCCAGGCTGCCCCCAAAGGCCCCCAAACCCCACAGCTGTGCACAGGCCGGGACCTCGGCCCAGGGTTCAGTCGGGGTTACTCCACAGGCCCTGCCCAGTGAGACGTGGGACCTTCCCACAGAATGTCAGGGCAAGAAGACCTGAGGTCACCCTGTTCGACACCCCCGTTTTCTTGATTTATTTTGACTGTTTTTCGGGAGCACAGCGGCAGTGGCCAGGCCTCGTATGGGCTCTGAACGCCCGGGGACCCATGAGCTGGAGGAGATGGCGTGCCCAGTGCCCCTGGGAGACCCGGGAGCTGGGACCAGGCACTGTTCAAGGGGCGGGCTTCCTCTCAGGCCCCCGGTTCCACGCTGGCCGGGCAGCTGCTGCTGGCCTTCCTGGGCACCGGCTATTGGCCAAGCCAGACTGCGCGCGCCCCTGGGGCGGGGGTACCCAGCCGGTGCCACGGAAGTGCCGAGGAGCGAGTGGCAGAATGTAAACACACAGAGGACCACGTACCCTAAAGGGCGCCCTCGGTTTAATCTGAAACGCGCCTTTGCCATCCAGGGCAGGCCTACCCAAGGCCTCGTGAGCGCTGGAGCCGTTGCTTTCACAGACGCTTTGCCATCAGCAAAGCCCAGTTTCCTCGTTTCCCGGGGAAATCACAGGCGCCACAATATGCTTGCTAAGCAAGTCAATGAGAAAGAGAACAGAACTGTGTTGGGGGGGCAGGCTCCCCACCCCCACGAGGGGTTGTCCTGCCTGTGGAGTCCCTGAGGCCTAGCACCTCCGCCTGACCCGCAGGGCCTCGATGAGCCACGGCTGGCGAAGAGGCACCGTCGATGCCCTGAAGGAATGACACCCACGCACCCGGGGCTCGCAGGGAAAGAAGTCCCCAGGATAGAGTCTGATTCTATAGCCCGGCCGGCTTGGCTCAGCGTTGGCCTGGGAACGGGTCTCGGTTCAGTTCCCGGTCAGGGCACAGGCCCGGGCTGCGGGCTGGATCCCCAGTGCGGGGCGTGCAGGAGGCAGCCGGTCCATGATTCTCTCATCATCGGTGTCTCTCTCCCTCTCCTTTCCTCTCTGAAATGAATACAAGTATATCTTATGTTTCTATTATACATAATGTTATAAACCATGCTCAGGATGGAGTTTCTTGTGGCCCCGTCCCCCTGTGGTGGTCAGGGGGGGCTACCCTGGGAGGGCCCTTGCCCCGCCTTCCTATGTCAGCCTCGAGCCCAGCTCTGCCTGGAGGAATGACCCAGGCCTCCTGCACCGCACGAGGCGGGGACAGTGGTGGCCTGCGTGTGCGCACTGGGAGCTGCTCCGGGCCCAAGACTTCCTGAGACACCTCCCGTCCTGGAGCCTGACCGCGGGAGAGAGGGAGGTCCAGTCAGGGAGCAGCCAGAGAACCAGCCGCCCTCCCCTGTGCAGAGGGCCTGGATGGACGATGAGCGCAGGGGAGGGAGCAGAGGGGGTCTGTGGAGGGTGGTCGGGAGGAGGGTGGCCCTGGAGCAGCCCAGCTGGGCTCGAACCGTCCCTTCTGCACTGCCGGCCGGAGCAGCCATGCCGGGAGGGTGCATGTCGCAAAAGAGGCTCTCAGGTTGTGTATTCCCACGGAAGTTAGCCTATGAACTCAGTCAGAATACTCACATCTTGCCCTGGCCGGTGTGGCTCAGTGAAGAGAGCGTCGGCCTGCAGAATAAAGGTTCCCGGGTTCGATTCCAGTCAAGGGCACGTACCTCGGTTGCAGGCTCCTCCCCGGCCTCGGCCCTGGTCGGGTGTGTGCAGGAGGCAACCCATCCATGAGTTTCTCTCACATCGATGTCTCTCTGCCTCTCCCTCTCCCTTCCACTCTCCCTAAAAATCACTGGAGAGAGATCCTCGGGTGAGGGTTACAGGAAATACTCACACCTCAGGGTTGGAAATAGGTGTCAACGCTGCCTGCCTGCAGCACCGGCTTTACTTACTTTATGTTTTTGTAATCCTCAGCCCAGGACGTGTTCACCGATTTCAGAGGGAGGGAGACAGGCACGCGGCCTCCTGTACGCACCCCAACCACAGGTCCAACCGATGTGCCCTGGCCGGGAATCGAACCCGAAACCGCTCAGTGCCGGGGATGAGGCGCCAACGGACCGGGCCGCACGGGCGTGAGAGCGGCCATGTGGGCAGTGGACTCAGTTCCCACGCTTACTGCCTTTTTTGGTGTCGACTTTTCACTTCGCGAATCAGGACGTGACTACCTCAGAGGCAAGGACACTCCGGGGTGGGCTGGGCGACCGGCACTTCCCTTTTCCTAGCAAATCCGTCACAGACGGAAACGAGAGTGACATCTACTCGCCACACACGAGTGCAGCGCCCTCACGCACCAGACGCGCCGTTCGCAGGGATCCCAGATGTGTCTTAATTAAAACAGATTCTGCTCCTGCTTTTAATTCTGATGAAAGCGCGTCTCCCAGGGGCTGCTGCCAAGTCATGCTCTGACGGCTTGTGCTTCAGGCGCAGGCCCATGCGGCTGTTTTGCTGGTTGTTTTTCAAGCTACGCTCTCCCTTTCCTCCCGAGGAAACAAAACCCGGGTTTCTCACTGAGCCCTTTCCAGACGCCCTGGCAGCGGCGAGACAAGAAGCGACAGGGTCTGAGACGTAGGGAACGTCTCTGGTCTCTGCGTAAGGGAGGGGCATGCCCTTCTCTTCTTTCCCTCCTGCTGCCTGGACCCAGGAGGTGATGGCAGGAGCTTAGGCAGCCATTCTGCACTGGGAGGCAACACGTAAGGACAGCAGGAGAGCCAGCTGGAAGGGCCCAGGTCCCTGAGGAGGTCTGGGGGCTGCCGTACCTCCCAGGATCGCTCCCTCTGGGTCTCCTTTATGGAAACATGAATAATCTTATTTAGGCTCCAATGATGCTGCATTTTTCTTCCCTGCAGCCGAAACCAGTCCTAAGGGACACACCCACTGCCCGGAGTCGGCCTTCACCCCGGCAGCTTCACACTGGGCAGGAGAATCTGAGCAGCAGCACCCACCCCGGCCTTGGAGTCCGTCAACGACAGACCCACAGAGCACAGTCCACCACGCGTCTGCCCGAGGCTCCCGCCCGACAAGGTGTCTGGGGGAGGGGCAGGTTTTAGGGGGCAGACGGAGCGCGCAGTGGGACATGCGGGGTTCAGGGGATCTGTCACACACTGACTGGCAGAGAGCAGGCGGAGGGGCTGGGCTCCCGGGGCAGGGCTCAGGCTGCAGGCAGGAGTGTGGGCAGGTGGGGGAAATGTTTGTTTGTGAAATGTGAGGCAGGAAGGCGCCCGAAATGACGGGGATGCTTCCCAGCACTACGTTTGGAGGCTCTCGTGTGAGGTGGGAGAGGCAGAGGAGGCTCAGACGAGGAGACGGACAAGAGCCGCAGGGAGCGGCAGAGACTGCACGATGGGTGATCCAGAACAGGTGGTCCTCCCGGCCGGGAGCACGTGTCTGGGAGGGGAGCACTCGGCGGGCCACCTGCTGCTGGGCTGAGCTCGGATCACGGGGCTGAGAGCACTGAGGTCAGGGTTGACTGAGGGACAGCCTCGGAGGAGGGGCTGGTGGGACTCTAGTTGGCGTGGTGGGTTCAGGAGAGGAGAGGAGGCACCTCCAGCGGGTGGTAGGCTTAGGGGAGCCGCGGCTGGGTGGCCCCTGGAGGCCGGCGGGGGAGTCAGGCAGGTTATCAGGAACGGACCTGGGTGACCTCCAGCACACAGAGAGGAAGAGGCGGGGACAGATCTGTCGCCTCCTGTATTCACCCCAACCAGAGGTCCAGCCGGCACGCACCCTGACCACGAATCGAACCCGAAACCTTTCAGTGCACTTGGGAGGCCGGCACTGACTTTAGCAGAACAGAGGGGTCGGGGGGCCGGCACCATCCGGGCACCCCGACCCTGAGCCAGGGCAACAGGAGCAGTGGAGGGCACATTCTCTCCGGGCAGGCGCCACTCCTCTCTCCTGCTCCTTAAACCAGCCCCTTTCAGAGCAGCCGGAGGGGGGCGCTGGGTGGGGGCAGGGAAAGCCCGGGCTGTGGGGAGGCAGCCACCCCGATACCCTCTCCAGGCCAGAGTGTGGCAACCTTTCCGTGCCTCAGTTTCCCCAGCTGATGGTGGGAATTTAAAGCGAGCCCCCATGCCTGTTCTTAGCATCTGCTCGGCACATGACAGGTTCTCAGATTTTGGTGACTTTTGATGGATCCAAATTGGGGCACCGTTGGGAGGGAGAAATAGTGAATATTGGGGGGGACTAGTGAATACGGGGGAATTATGCTTTTCTTCCTTTATCAGGTGTACCTGGTAATAGTGCGGATTTTTTTCACTAGAGTTACACGTATGTTGATATATATGTGATTTGATATGTATGCTATTTTGTTGTATTGACAGCAAGCTTCAAAACTTCATATGTTAAATTTTCTGAAGGTGTTAACATCATAGATATTTTTACGCTTAAAAATGTCGAATTTTGTGCCAAAAAAGAGCATTTGTGGGAAGTTTTAATTCATTACTTTATTTTGAAGAAAAGTGCTGCTGAAAGAGATCGTAGAAAACCGAAAAGTCATCAGTAAATTGTTGCTTCAATGGCACGAAAGAAAGTCTTTTTTAAATTGAATTGTGACTGGAGATGAAAAGTGGATTTATTTTGAGAATCCCAAATGCACAAAATCATGGGTTGATCCAGGTCAACCATCAACACTGACTGCAAGGCCAAATCGCTTCGGAAAAAAGACAATGCGTTTGGTGGGATCAGGAAGGTGTGGTGTATTATGAGCTTCTAAAACCAGGTGAAACCATTAATACTGATTGCTATTGACAACAAATGATCAATTTGAGCCACGCTTTGATCGTGAAATGACCAGAATGGGCCAGAAGACATGGCAAAGTAATTTTGCTTCATGATGACGCACCATCACACACTTCAAAACCAGATAAAGGCACATTAAGAGATCTTTCCTGGGAAGTATTAACCCACCTGCTGTATTCACCAGAACCTGCTCCTTCAGATGACCACTTGTTCCGATCAATGGCACACGCACTTGCTGAGCAGCACTTCAACACGTACGAAGATGTGGAAAATTTGGTCTCTGAATGGTTTGCCTCAAAACAAGAAAATTTCTATTGGGACGGTATCCACAAATTACCTGAAAGATGGGGGAAATGTGTAGCTAACGATGGACATTACTTTGCATAAAGCACTTTTGAGGTTTCTCTTGAAATTATCGTTTTCTTTGATTACAAAATCCACACTATTAACCGGTACACCTGGTAAGTCCTGTTTACTGGGGCGATTAAAAGAAAAGGGCACCGTTAACTTTAGTCAAGGAGCCAGGAAGTCCAAAAAGGTGGTGACCGAAAGCAAGGAGGCGGGAAGCATGGCCGCGGGGAACTGCCCGCAGGTGGTAGGGCGGTGCGGGTGCGGGTTCGGGAACAGCCTCGCCCCTCCACTCCGGCCCTGCCCCTCCGCCTCCGTACCTGCCTGCGGGCGGCTCCACGGCGCTCTCGCACCTTCTTTCTCGCCTCCCCCCGCCACCACCGGGCTGCCCGGCACAGAGGGCGCGAACGTACCCGGAGTTTCGGTGGGTGCCCCACTTCGCTCCTGCTCAGCTGGGATACTGCAAGGGCCCGAGCGTCTGCCGTGGGCGGAGGAAGGGCGTGCCGGTTGGGTGTCGTCGCCTAGCAACCAGCATCACGCTCCGGCTCCGTGGCCAGACGAC